TGTTTTCGAGCATGAGAAATACGAATTTGATATTTGTTTTGTGATTACTCAAATTCGTATTTCTCATGCTCGAAAACATAAAACTACAAAATTTTATGTTAATAGTACAAAAACCTTCAAAATTATCAAGAAATTTCGAAATAAGAATTTAACTTTCAACACCCTATGCCTCGAAAACCACTGACATTTGTATAAGAGATGTTACGTTAAATCATCATATTTTGGTGTCTAGTATCTCCGGTATTCGGATTTCCCAACTATAATTAAGTCAAAAATACTTAATAAATAATTAAAAATTGTCGATAAATTGTGCAATTGTCGTGTATTAATCTTCCTAAAATACGCTCGAGCTTGATTTTAAATCAGGATAATTTTATTTTTAATTCACTCAAGTTTTGTTACCCTTTGGAAATAACTCTCAATCAGCGATTTTATCATGCTTTTGATTTCGAGTTATTTCCATGGTAACAAAACTTTCGTGTAAAAATAAAATTATCCGATTAAAAGTCAAGCTCTTGTGTATTTACCCCCGAATAAATTTTTTGTTTACGTATTTTTTTAAAATTTTTTTTGAGTATTTACTTTGAAAAACTTGGGAAATTTATGATGGAAAGACTCAGCACAGAACAAAGAACCCACGTTGTTCAATTTTATTTTGAAAGTCAGCTTTCGATTATTCAGACATAAAAATCATATCGAAATTTCTTTCATGTTCGAAATGCACCTAGCGCTCCAACAATTTACCGATTGGTTCAGTGTTTTCGGCATCAAGGGGCTGTCTGTGATCTTCCGCGTGCTGGGAGACCTTGTGTAGTTCGAAGTGATGTGAATATTGCTCAGAAGCAAGCAAGTATTAAGGAAAACCCCGAAACATCCACCAGGCGACATTCTCAGCAGTACCGGGTAATGATTGAAAATTTTTTAAGACCAGAGGTAGAGTTCGTCCAACTATGGCTCTCCTGCGCGAAATTTTTGGCGAACGAAAAATGTCCCGTTTTTCTGATTTTAACTGGCCATCGCGTTCGCCCGATTTAACGGCTCCCGATTGGGGCTACCTAAAGGGTAAGATGTATGCCAATAAGCCAAGAACCATCCAACAGCTTAAGGCCAACATCCGAGAAGAAGTGAGGGCACTGGGACCTGGAATTCTAAGAAAAGTTATGGAAAATGCTCTGTCAGGTCGAAGCAAACAATGGGCACCATTTGAAAGATATTATCTTCAAAACATAATGTGATATTTCCAAATTATACTCTTAATTTTAATAAATGCCAACGTTAAATAAAATCAAAAAGAAAAAAGATATTCATTAAATAAATCATAACGTTACTTATGCACCACCCGTTCTAAATAAAAAAATTGGAAAAGATCTGTTTGGTAATTACACAATTCATTGTCAGTATTTCATAATTTCGAACAGTCCCAGATCCATTTTAAAATCTCTATCACATTTGTGAAAGAGTTCCATGTCCTCATATTTCAAGTAATCAAAATTAAAATAATTTCAGATACAATTTTAAGTAGTCAGATCCGCGGAGCACATTTGCGTTTCCTTATGGCAAATTTTTTTCGTTAGGGGGTGGGAAAACCGTCTTTAGGAAATGACTGCAACAAAATCTGACCACGCTATCTTATAGAGGGTAATTTTAGATGCAATTATCAGTAGTCAGATACGCGGAGCACATTTGCGTTTACTTGTGGAGAATTTTTTGCGTTTGGGGGTGGCTAAAATCGTCTTTAGGAAATGAGTGCAACAAAATCTGACCACGCTATCTTATAGAGGGTAATTTTAGATGCAATTAGCAGTAGTCAGATACGCGGAGCACATTTGCGTTTACTTGTGGCGAATTTTTTTCGTTTGGGGGTGGCTAAAATCGTCTTTAGGAAATGAGTGCAACAAAATCTGACCACGCTATCTTATAGAGGGTAATTTTAGATGCAATTAGCAGTAGTCAGATACGCGGAGCACATTTGCGTTTACTTGTGGCGATTTTTTTTCGTTTGGGGGTGGCTAAAACCGTCTTTAGGAAATGAGGGCATCAAAATCTGGCCACGTTATCTTATAGAGGGTAATTTTAGATACAATTAACAGTAGTCAGATACGAGGAGCACGTTTGCAAATGACTGCAAGAAAATCTGGGCACGCTATCTCATAGAGGGTACAATCTCGTTTACACATGGGGATATTTTTTCTTGGAGGTGGCTAAAGTGTCTTTAGGAAATGACCGCAACAAAATCTGACCACTCTATTTCATAAGGAGTAGTTTTAGATACACTTTACAGTAGCCAGATTCGCGGAGCACATTCTCGTTTACGCGAGGTTATACTTTTTATTTTACCTCAAAATGATCGTGTAAAACCGACTTTAGCGTATACTCGGATGTATTCGGTGAAACGGGTTGCTATGTTTGGCGTGCTATTTGCACACCGGTGTCAGCTTTAATGCAGCATTCTCGACCATTGCCGTATCGATAATTTTTATCTTCACTTCCATATTTTTGACTTTGCCTTCGAAATCTGATATCGAAAATGAAATATCACGGAAAAGCTCCTGATATTTGTTGGATAAACCCTTTACTTCCGACATATTTTTAAAGATAAAAGCACAAAAAAAGCTTCTACTTCCACCGGCAAATGTTACGCTAAATAATGCTACTATAGTTTGTTCATCGAACAGATGCAGCGATTTGAAATTACAGCTCCTCCCACAAATACGCGCAAAATTTGAATAAAATTTTTCTATTGGTAAGCCCGGTTTACAAAGCTCAACCAAGAACAACTCCCTTTCTTATTCTTTTCCTAGTCTTTATGTTTATTTTCTTTCTTTGAATCTATGTATTTTTTGTGTGTGTGAAACTGGCTATTATGTAATAGCGAGGGAAATAGGCGTGTCTTCACTCAGGTTCACTGCATCCTTTCGATGAACAGAATATATAGTTCTAGATGGCCTTTTGCTTTAAAAAACATGACCCAAAGTCGAGAATATCCTGACAAACATGCGAAAACCGTATGTAAAAAGTTTACATAATCTTTACTGAACAAAAATAAAAGAATACTGTCCCAGTTGTAAACAATACATACTTATTACCTATACTACTTGTTTTTCTTAAAATATAACAGATAAGTTTTAATTATTTTATCAGATATATGTTTTACTTGTATATTTTGACGTAAAAAAAATAAATATATACTAAGTAAAGTGCCAACAAATCGAAAACAAAACGTGGAGTAACTGACTTACCCTGCACAGTCTCTAATGTATATTCCATTAGCACAGTCACGGGAGGGTAAAGCAAAAAACAAGGCTTTTTGTAGATCATTCTTATTTCTAGCAAACACGTTTACATTTCTTGATGATTTCGTCCATAAATGTGACGAACAGCAATGGACCGAATCTTCCTCCTTATCAGAATTCTATGTTTGCTGTAAATGTTTCTGGTATAAAATTATTCCTTATAACTGCCTTGCTATTCATATCATAATAGTTATTTATAAGTGGGCTAGAAACATAATTACTGTACCAGTGTGAAGAATTGCACGACGAGGTCGTAGACCGAGTCGTGTAATCACACGAGTACTGTAATTATGCTATAGCCCACGTGTGATATACAACATTTTATCTACGACTGCTAAAAAAATTACTTATAAATCAATTTCTTTAAAAAGTCTATATATTTTTACATTTATAAAAATATTTTGAAATGATTGTTGACAGTTTTGAATTAATGTCAGTTTCAATAACATGTTTACTCATCTGGAATAACTGTTTAGAAACGTAAAAACATAACAATTAATGTTTAAAATAAAGAGTATTGTTTCTCTTTAAATAGGTAGTACTTTTTCTTTTGTATTGTTGCTCGTTTCAATAAATTAAGTCTGTTCTGATTGGGCTAAAAATGCGTTACGTAATGAAACCAGTCCGGTAATGAACTTCATTACGTAACTCAAATCACCTCAAATAAGTGTGGTAATGATGACTTATCCAAGCAGTCGTAGATAAATAAAATAAACGAGCGGAAAATGTATGATTTCGTTTTATTAAGCCGAGGTCGCTTGCAGATGAGGCAGTATAATATATGATGTCACATATTGAATCTCTGTGATATCTATTGCTGCTAGGCTGCAGGCGGCGTCGGCTTAACTAGAACTAAAAAAGTATGATTTCGCTCTTTTAAGCCGAGGTCGCTTGCTAAGCTGTACGTCTAATTATGTTAAATACTTTTACCATTTTCCTCCTGACATATTATATCTACACAATATAACAAAAAAAAATATATTCATAGATTTTTGAAATTCTCGTTTTTCATCTAAATTACATTTATTAAATAAATTATTCAACTTCAGTAAAAGATTTTTCTTGTTCAAAATGAAATTTATTTGAAATGAAAGATTTAAAAATCAATTCGATTCTCGAAGCTTCTATCTTCTGACATGACAAATAATTATGGAACACAGTATACCTCTCTATATGTACTTTTTTCGTTGTCGAGTTTTTCACTGATTGGACACTGTAGTAGGCAATTTGATTACTGAAACGCGAAGCTGAAAGAGCGACGAAGGGTTTGATTCATTTTATTTGAAAGGTGAATTTTCAGGTTTTTTAGGCAAAACTATGCCAGTTTCATTCAAATAGCTTATAAAACCTCGCTTTACAAAAACTATTATAACCCTTTACGATGCATGGAGTTTTTGCTAATCTCGCTAAATTAACCCGCACTATTATATAATATCGATTTCAACTTTCGCACGTTGCAGAAATTTACTAAAACAGGCCAGCGTAATTTTGGCACCTGATGCATATTTCATAACGGTCCGTGGATCTCGTGGTAGAAGCAATATTAAGGTTACCGTAAATTATCATTTCAAATAACTTCAAATATGAACTCATTTCCTTTCTTTGATTTTTCGTTTTTGTCCAATATAGCTACTACCATTCTTTATAAAGTATTATATTTCTAAATTTATCACTTATATTTATTCTTATACATATATCATGTTTTAGACTGCAAGAGTTGCAATGGATCGAGCTGTGGAAGTTCAAAAAGCAGTTCAAGCTGCCCGATTTAAACAATTAGAAAGTGAAATGAAAGCGAAGAGGCGTAAACGCGGCGGAATAACTGAAAAAACAGAGTTGTACGAACAAATGGCTAAAGCACTTTTTGACCAACAACAAAACGTTGAACTAGAATCGGAGAAAGGAAGAATGCTGACAGAAGAGATTAATCATTTGAATGCTCAAACCGAGATGATTCAACAAGTAACTAACGACAACGTGATGAAACAAGAAGAAGCTAACATTACGATTATGAAAAACATTAAAAAACTACAACAGGCTATTACCGCAAATGAAAAGAGGCTTCATACTTTAGAGTTTATGGCAAATACAAGACTTGCCAACTCGCAACAAGCGCAGATGTTTATTTTTTAAGGAAACGCACATATTAAAACGTGATGATTTTCTTTCGTGGTTTAATTAAACGACCCGTAAAAAGTCACTTCACTTATACGAACCACAAAAAAAACTTTACGGCCTCTGAATAAATCAACCACGGTAACATTTAAAAGAAAATGTAACGTCGATGCTTTCCTGCTTAAAGCTTTAAGTGTTATTGGATAATAAAACGTCAAAATTTCGTGGTAGAGTTCTAATAAAAAAAAAACAGGGGATGTAAAGAAACGAAGGAAATTTATGTCAAGGTCATTGTAGCCGTTCAGTCATAATTTAGTCAGAATATATTGAGAATTAAATAGAAAATTAATGTAAGTTGTAAAATAAATTTTATTTCATTTAAAAATCCTCTGTTATCTAGAATGTTCAATCATTGTCACATTAACTTGATCGTGCATGATACCTTATTCCTTTTAAATACTCGATCGTTGTAAAAACAATAAAAATACATTAAAATAAGAAAAGCTTGTTCATAAAATACAAAGAGCTTATATTACAAACTATACAAATCTTAGAACTTATACAAAGACTTTTATTCATAGCTTGAGTTATATTATTTATTATGTCCGATTGTAACAAATTATTTAACGTCTTGGTTAAGGAACCCAACGTAGTTAGTTCCGAAGTACGCTTTAGCCTTTAAACCCTCACGATGAAGGCAAAGCATCGTATCTCGCTCGGTTGGGGTGGTATTAAATTTAGAAAACGGCTTTTACCTGGAACGACCTGCATGTCCCTCCTATTTACAAACGGGGTGCTTTTAAATATATTGAGAAATATAAGTTATGGGCTACAGCCGAGAGATTATATTTTTTTAAAATAACTTATTTACTTTGTATTTTCGTGATAACATCTCAGACCTCTCAGAGGGAGAATGTATAAGGGGCCCGTTGGGGCTTAGGTGCCGCGTATAGAATACGATAAGAATTAGTATTCTCATCGGTTACGACGTTCTAGAAAAAGAAGTAATACGAATAAAGGAAAATAAGTACCTATTGTTTAAAATTTAAAGACTATTCTACGTCATGTTATGCTACCACATAACTTATATCGTACTTGAGATTCTCACAATTACCTATTTACTTTTTTGTAATATACTCTTGGATTAAGGTTGCCCTCGTTAACTGCAATTTTTATACGATCCAACAGACGTTTAATTGGTACACATTCACGACTTTATTAACCGCAAAGAAAATGGTACTACTATACCGTGAAGAGAATCTCTATAGCTTTCTATAACTGCCATAGAAGCAAACAATAAGCTTTAAGGAAATGGTAATTGGATTCGAGCGCTTGTTGGGCCTAAAAACTACTGATATTTTTCACATTCTTTTCGGGAAAAATACTTAATATACACTGTTGAAATTTGTTGTAGTGATTGAATTAACTTTATTTAACATTCATATTTTTTTTCAAAAAGCCAGATGCAAAGGGTGGATCGATGAATGGCGGCACGTTTGCGAAGACGTGCCGCCACGTCTTACGGAAGTCCTGTTGCCGATATAGATGATCTGAAACAAAAAAATCAAACATATTCTTACTTTATACTATACTGCGAATAAAGTTGACTAGAATCAAGAAGAAAAAATGAAAAACGAAAAAATGGTGAGCCATTGCAATAAAGGTTTAGATTTTTTTCATTTCATCTTGCAGATTATCATTTATAAAAAAAAATTTTCAATATTTTTCAATAATTCTAGTTGAATTGATGCACACACTTGTGATGCACGTGGCTGCCAAATTTCATTACGATTGCTTATCTAGAGCGCTTTGGAGCACTTCCGTAAACTTAAAAAATGTAGTTTCGAGAAAAACACAAAAAAGTTTTACCGAAGTTTGTTTGGGTATAAAATGAAAATTTTCATACTTACATTTAGTCTGCTATGCCAGCACCATAGAGTCCACCTTCATCTTTTTCGAAGAATTCCTCTTGAGCGGTTCGTTCGAGTCTTCTAGCCGATCTAGACTCTTTTGATGCCGCGGAATGTGCAGCTTCCGCTTTCCGCACGCGCACGTTATCCCTCGCGTCGGCAGCAGCTTTGGCCTGCGGTCCGATTGTGATGCCCATCACTTCCATCTTGCGTAACAGGGGTGTGAACCCTTCGTTGAAGATACATTCACTCATAAATGCCGCCAATTGAATTGTTTTTGCCGAGCAAAAAATGTGTTTGGGAGCAAAGCGCCAGAGGGCAGAGTTAAAACTTTCATTGTTATTTTGCGTATTTCCGCCCAAACACCGTTGCAATAAATCGTCTGACGACAGGTCTTCGTATATGGGACGAAGAAGATTTTGAACATTAGTTGCAAGTGGTGCTGGGTGTTTATATTCGTGTAACTTGTTCTCTGCCTCAGCGCGTCTCCACTTGCACCACGATTCAGTCCCGATCGGACAATTATCGTGCTTCGGGTTCGCATCTGTCGAGCATTTGTGAAAAAATGTTGCAAAAATTTCCTTTTTCATATCGCTTACACATTGTGGATTTCGGATAATTGCCAAACCATAATAAGAGGTCAGGTCGCGCATCAATTTATCCGTTAACTTCCCATCGCCCTTGCCACCAACTCCGTTAGTCTTTTTCTTTCCAGATCTCAGTCTCGATCCCATTCGCTTTTTCAGGTGTCCAGCGCACTCAAATTTTGTCACTATCAATTCATCACCATATGGCTGTATTTCCAGAAGAGATTTGAAAGTTTTTGTATCGCCGTCACCTATGTAGTTGGTATATTTTACATTGTGAAGTTCTTCGGATCGTGTAAACATTTCAATAATGCCATCGACTTCCATTTTACCAGCGGTTCCTTTGTGATTGCATGTACAATTTTCTTCATGTTCTGCGCACCAGTCATCAAACTCATCAGTACCCTCTTTGTTACTCCAGTGATTACAAGCTTGACAACATTTGGATTTTACCATCAAGTCTAAAACCTTATTGGAATATTTGCCAATCAAAGTGACTACGCCAAACAATGATGAAAATCCTCTCTTGCTCCAAGATCCATCTCCTGAGACGGTCAAATGAGATGGCTCATTTCCTGCTGCAACATTCTTTGTCCTTTCTTCCTCTGCAGCTTTTCCGAGGAGCACGTTGGTCGTGGCTTTTGCAGCAGTCCACGCATTTTCCAGACAAGCATAATAGGTGTTTATCGCTATTTCTTGACCCGCAGAAAAGATTTATTCCTTGCAAGCCGATTCCAAGAAGTCGCATTACAAAGACCAGTCGTCGATTGATTTCAAACGATTTGTTCGATATTTTCGGTCAAGAGTCGATTTCAGTAGGGTCACAATCACACACGACACAGATCTTGAATCCCAAACCTTGCTCACCTTTCACATTAAACTTCATGTCCTTTTCACACTTCTTGCACTTTAGTAGGGCACTGAGCATGGAAAATACATGAATAAAATTAATTATTCGGTATCCATGTGTTGGATTTACTGTTATTTCACAATCCCCGGAACTTTGAATTTTTTTGCAGACGAACTTGCGCGTGAAACCTCATTTTCACTGGTAAATCGGTTACCACAGAATCGACGTTTTTTGGCATATGGCCAGGGCGATCATTTTTCCCTTCGCCGAATTTTTTCGCTTTAAACATCGCGAATGTTTTATTTCCTAGCTTCGAAGCTTATGTGTAGTTACAGTAGGTATATTCGCTCCGATTACCGCTCCGATTTCATACCCCTTCGTCGCTCTCTTCGACGGTTGATAACTTTTCCAATTTAACAAATTTTAACTTGAAATTTTGTGAGCGTATTCTTAAAATATAAATCAATCCGCATACCGAAACATAATGCAAAAAAAAACAACTTTTTTTTACCTAACAAGGTAGAAACCTCCCTTAAGGGCTAGAATATCGGACGTGTGGCAACACTGAATTACTGCAGAATCAAGATAAGCAATTTCAGTGAGAGTTAACGATAAGTCAAACATATACGATAAGTCTAAACAACGGCACGGAATATTGGGACACCTTACTAATTCACTTAATTTCAAATAAAATCGATACAAAAACTAAGCGAGCATGGGAAAGTTCTATTAAAACCAATGCAATACCAGACCTCAAACAGTTGTTTGACTTTTTGTCTTCGCAGTGCATGATTCTTGAATCAGTAGAAAGAAAAGATAACAAATCCAACACAGTATCTTGTCTCGTTATAAATAAACCGAAATGTAGGTTATGCGACGAAAGCCACGCATTGTACCAATGTAAAACATTTTTGGATTTGACGCCGAAACAACGCCTCGAAAAGGTCAAGAATTTTAAACTTTGCATCAATTGCCTTAAACCCGGTCATATACACGGAAACTGTAAACTAGGTAATTGTAAGAAATGTGACAATGCTCATAATACCTTGTTGCATTTTGAAAAAGGTAACTTTTCTACTGCACGTTCTTCTAATCCTCCAACGACAAGTATGGTATCTGCACATACGATGAACAATAACAATGAATATGTTTTATTGCCTACAGCTCTATTATGGGTAAAAAATGCAATGGGAAATTTAATCAGATGTCGGGCTTTAGTAGACTCCTGTTCACAATCAAATTTTATTACCACTGAACTTGCATCTAAATTGAATTTACAAAAAACTAAGGTTTTAGCATCCATTAACGGAGTTAATCAGTCGAACTTTAATGCATCTACTAGAACACAGACAGATATTTATTCATTAAACAAGCATTTTAACAAAAAATTGTCATTTTTAATAATTGATAAAATAACGGATAAGTTACCACAACAAAAAATTGATAAGGAGCGATTACAAATTCCTGAAAAATTACAACTCGCTGATCCTGATTTTCATAAACCCAACAGCGTAGATATTTTGCTAGGTGCTTCAGTTTTCTTTGAACTACTGTCAATAGGACAAATCAAATTGAATGGTAATGAAGGACCCATACTCCAAAAAACAAAACTGGGTTGGATAATAGCAGGGAATATCCCATTTTCGTTGAATTGTAACTCTTGTTTTCTGATCACTCGTAAAACCATTAATGAGAATACTGCATTATTGAAATCTTTAGAAAGATGTTGGGAAATCGAGGAATCACCGAAGGTTAACCACTTATCTCCTGAAGACTTGGAGGTTGAGACTCACTTTCGTAACACTTATCAAAGAGGGACGGATGGTCGTTTTCAAGTTTCGTTGCCATTGAAGGACAATCCTCAAATTTTGGGTGAATCCTATGATATTGCAAAGCGACGTTTAATCTCATTGGAAAACAAATTTGCAAAAAATTCAGAATTGAAGGAAGAGTACACTAAATTTATGTCTGATTACGAGTCATTGGGTCACATGTCTGAAGTTGGAGCGGATGAATTAGGAAAATCGGATACATCGAACGAGGTAGTAAATTATGTACCACACCATTGTGTTCTTAAAATGTCTAGCACGACTACCAAGTTAAGAGTAGTGTTTGACGCGTCCGCAAAGACATCCTCAGGATTTTCTCTAAACGATTTGCTCAGGGTTGGACCTGTGGTTCAAGACGATTTAATATCAATAATCTTGAGATTTCGGCTATACAATTATGTGTTAACTGGGGATATTGCTAAAATGTACCGGCAGGTGAATATCCACCCAGAGCAAAGAAATTTGCAACGAATATTATGGCGTGACAATTCGAATAATACAATCAAACATTTTACGTTGAATACAGTGACTTATGGGACCGCTACAGCGTCTTATTTAAGTACGCGTTGTTTATATCAATTGGCAAGAGATAACGAGATTGCTTATCCTGACGCTGCTAGATCTATTGATCATGATTTTTATATGGATGATCTATTGACGGGTGCAAATACTGAGCAAAGGGTACTGCAATTGAAACAGGAAATTTCAGGCATTTTGAGTCAAGGCAAATTCGAATTACGAAAATTTAATTCTAATAGTCACAAGGTTAATAATAACACTGAGTTGAAAGATTTAAACTTGATTGAAGCAAAGATTTTGGGAATCGCGTGGGATTCTGTTAAAGATGAATTTAGAATTTCCGTTAACATAAGTACTGAAAATAGACGATTCACCAAAAGATTTATGTTGTCTACTATTTCTCAAATATTTGACCCGCTGGGTCTGGTCGGACCAGTTATTTTACGAGGAAAAATTTTGCTGCAGAAAATGTGGCTGCAAAAGATTGATTGGGATGAAACAGTACCACAAGATATATATTTACAAGCGCGAGATTTTTTAAATGACTTGAAACAGTTGGATAGTATCACTATTTCTAGACACGTTGCTCTAATTAATTCAGAGCTGTATCAAATTTGCGGATTTTGTGACGCATCTCAATCCGCTTATGGAGCTTGTGTGTACATTAAAACGCTTAATGAACAGGGAAACATATCCAGTAGATTGTTAATGGCAAAGTCTAAAGTGGCTCCAGTAAAGGTAATAACAATTCCGCGTTTGGAATTAGCTGCTGCACTGTTGTTGGCAAGATTGGTGGCATCAGTGAGGGAGGCTTTGGATGTACCCATAGATGGGACCTGGTATTTTTCGGACTCAAAAATTGTTTTAGCCTGGATTTGCAGTACGCCCAACACTTTAAAAACCTTTGTAGCGAATCGGCTTAGCGAAATACAAAATTTAACAAACAAAGACGAGTGGTTGCATATATCCTCAAGGGATAACCCCGCAGACCTGATTTCTAGAGGGACCGATTCAAAAGGTATCAAAGAAAGCAGTTCATGGTGGCATGGACCACATTGGTTGGAGATGCCGGTGGAATCTTGGCCAGCCATGAAGAGTGAATTGACAGAGGAAATCCCGGAATTGAAGACTACAAATTTAGTGATGACCCGAAACACCGATGCCGCACCAATTTTTGATAGATATTCTAGTTGGTCGAAGTTGCAAAAGGTGGTTGCATATATTTTGCGGTTTAAGTCAAATTGTTCTAAAAATATAGTCACAAAAAACCGAGGAGTTTTGACTATTGATGGAGAAGAGTAAAAGGTTATTGGTCAAATTGGCTCAAGAACAAGAATTTAGCGAGGATATATCCAATTTAAAGGCCAAGGGAATTAAACTGACCAGTAAGTTGAAAACTTTAGATCCATTCTTAGACGAAGATGGTATTTTGAGAGTGGGTGGTAGATTGGCAAACACTGATTTAACATTTTCACGTAAACACCAAATAATTTTACCCTCTAAACACAAATTGACTGAATTGATCATACGACATAAACATCTGGAAAATTTGCATGCTGGCGTTCAAACTCTTCTTTCGATTATAAGACTTGAATATTGGCCTGTAAACGGAAAAAATGTGATTAAAAAGATATTACGTTCATGCACAATTTGTTTTCGAGTAAAGCCTAGATTCATTTTTCCAAAGATGGGTATGTTGCCCAAAGAACGAACAACACCAGTACGACCATTTACGAATGTAGGTGTGGATTATGCCGGTCCTATACTAATCAAGGATGGTAAATTAAGAAACCGAAGGTTCATTAAATCCTACGTTTGTTTATTTGTTTGTTTGGCTACGAAGGCATTACATTTAGAGTTGGTGACTGATTTGACATCTGACACATTTCTGAATGCATTTAAAAGATTTGTGGGTAGACGAGGTTTGTGTCGATGCTTATATTCCGATAATGCTACTAATTTTAAAGGGGCAAAGAATTTAATGTATGCTAATTTAGAAGATCTAGCTAAGGATCCTGATATTTCAAATTATTTTCGTGACAAAGGGGTCATTTGGCACTTCATTCCCGCAAGAAGCCCTCACTTTGGTGGGATTTGGGAAGCTGCGGTTAAACGGGTTAAGTATCATTTAATGAGAACAATTGGTGATGAAAGACTAACCTATGAGACCTTTTCCACAGTTTTAATCCAAATTGAGTCAATCGTAAACTCAAGACCTTTACTTCCTTTATGCTCTGACCCTCAAGATTTAGAATTATTGACTCCAGGACATTTTTTGATTGGCACGGCCTTGTTGGCAGTTCCTGAAGTAGATGTTTCAGAAATTCCTGTTAACCGATTAACAAATTACAAACAACTCCAAAAATTACACCAATCATTTTGGAAAAGGTGGTCATTGGAGTATTTGCATACTCTACAACAAAGGACTAAGTGGAGATTCGACCGAGAAGATCTTGTCAAAGTTGGAAGTATGGTTCTGCTTAAAGATGACAACCTTCCCCCAAGGCAGTGGAGAACAGGAAGAATAGAAGAACTCCATCCTGGTCCAGACGGAAGGGTTCGTGTGGTGAAGATCCATACTTCAGGTGGAACTGTGTCTAGAAGTGTACATCGAGTTTGTGTATTACCAATAGAAGAACAGTAACAGACTTTATATTTTATATTTTCTTAAGTTTCTTTATGTGTTTTTTTTATCTTTTGAAAGATAACTCTTTCAAGGCGGGAGTTATGTTGCGACTCTCGTTCATAGATGTCGTTAGTGAGCGATCGAAGGGACACACGTGTCGAGTTGTTACCCGCGAAAAGGGATCAGTCCGTTACGAGCAGCGATGACGGACGCTTCCAAGCATTATATTTGAGTTAAACAAAATAAATTAAAACAAAAATAGAAGCTTTTCATTCAACTATATACAGTCCACAACATTATATAAAAGACTCTCCTTAATTTTTGCTGAAAAATCACTCCTTGAAAACTTTCGCATTAACTTAGAAACAGCCTGTATATTAATGAACTTTTTTAAGGTGACTTTATTGGTACAAGAAATTCAATGTTTAAGCTGTTGTTCGTAATAATCCACATATTTCATCTCGCGTAATGTCTTATGACTCTGCTGTATCCCAACATTTTTACATTGCCATAAATTTCACCAGTACGCTGTTTGCATCAAGAGCTGCACACAGTAATGATATCCAAAAGCCAATTTCATTTTGTTATTGGATACAAGTATGCTTTATTGGTTACTAGAAAATTCTTAATGGTTACGTGAAATAAATTTCTAACTTAACTACTTAGTTGGGCAGTTAACATATTGCGTAGGATTATAGGTAACTTTTCAATTGCCCCTTTCTTCGAAAAACATGCTTATAAAAAAAGATGTACCCTTTGAAAAGCATACTTAACAAATGAAAAATATTGATGGCGCTTCTAAAATGCAATAAAAATCGTTCAAAATACTTTCCCCCTTTATACGATGAAAGTTTTATCTGAAACTTTTTTGATAAAATTGATGTTTTATGAGTTATTATTAGGTAGTCTCAATTTCAATGCCTTACTCAGTATATTAAATATAGTTAAATATAGTTTTAAACTCTTATAAAACCTGTTCATACACCTATTTAATAAATTTTGCGTCTACAAATCGGTACCTACCGACGAATTGGACGAATAGACTCATCAATTTGGTATTATCCTTGAAGGACACATTACCGATTTTTCTCTATACAAGAAATACTAAAATATATGCAACTTATTTTACGTTTTTCGTAGTAATACGTTAGGGCGCGTATAGTAAAATTTCAATTTTTATGAATGGCGACACATAAGTCACCCTGCCATCTAGGCATCACGACCACGAACTACATTCTTTGGATAACTATGTATATCTACAAACAAGAGTAATACGTTAGGGCGCGTATAGTAAAATTTAAATTTTCATGAATGGCGACACATAAAGTCCCTAGACTATCAAAGCACCGCGGTTCATGACGCCTGTTTTCGAGCCAAAATGGCGGTTTGACAACTTGTCACTGCATTTCACCACTTCTGTACAAAAATATTGCCGTTTTGTTGCCTTTGGTGTTGCAAAAATAGCAGTAAGAAGGGCTTTCGACTCTTAAGGGTACCACGAGAAAAAAGAATGGAGTTTTGGCGTAATGTTATCAACAGAACGACAGAGTTTTAAATTTCCCGCTTGACTTTCGAGCCAAATGGCGGCAAATGTGGACTTTATGTGTCGCTAAAGTCCCTAGATTTACAAAGTACCGCGGTTCATGACGTCTGTTTTCGACCCAAAATGGCGGTTTAACAACTTGTCACTGTATCTCACCAGTTATTTACAAAAATATTGCCGTCTTGTTGCCTTTGAAGTTGAAAAAATAGCAGTAAGAAGGGCTTTCAACTCTTCAGAGTCTCACGAGAAAAAAGGAAGACATTTTGGCGTAATGTTCTCAATAGAACGACATAGTTTTAAATTTCCCGCTTGACTTTCGAGCCAAAATGGCGTCAAACCGCGGTACTTTGTAAATCTAGGGACTTTATGTGTCGCTAAAGTCCCTAGATTTAGTCCCAAGCTATCAAACCGCCATTTTGGCTCGAAAACAGGCGTCATGAACCGCGGTACTTTACATTAACTGTCCAATGCTTAGTGCAGAACTAAACCTAGTATTAAACCCCGTTAAAATGTCCTGACGTCGCCGCCTGGCAATAAATAAGTAATAACCACTTCCTTATCTCTATGCGTGCCTGCCTAACAGAATTCAAAAGAACGCCGTTTCTTTGTCGCTCTTTTTTTACCGCCATGTCGAATTAAATGGAGAATACTAAAAAAATACCAACAATAAATTATATATTTTAAAAACTAAAATGGTTATAGCCAGTTTTTGGATGTATACATCCAAAAACTTTGTTGAAAAATGATGAGCTCTAAGATACGCAACTTTGCCCCCAATTAACCATTTCTTTATCTCTTATGGTTTCTGAGATCCCAATGGTGAGGGTCGAATTTGAATTACCTGTATAGAAAACTGATTTTCTAGGATACCTTGATGTTAATAAAAAAATATAACCTTTCCTTGCTTGTATTTGTAAAATAGTTTTAATAGCATTTATCGTTAACAGGAAGCCATCAAAACGAGGTGGTCTATTTATAGTTTTCCTTTGTACACCGGACCTCTTCCTTTTTCTACTTTTCTAATACCTATTCCTTATGCCATGTCTAAAGCAGCGATACAATGAATATTATTATCGCAGAGTGCTCTTCGATATACAGTTTTTTTCATGCAATATTCAATGCATCAAAGGCGTTATTGATAATTTCAATAAAAGTAGCAGTGGCATAAGCTGTTGTGGACATCAGTTGATCGGTCTCCTCTGAAGTTCTGATAGCTGCGCTGACGGAGTGACTTAACACTTGCGCAAGCAATATTACATTCATCCGCTGAAAGGGATTGGGAGATAAGTGTACGTCTGTAATGCGGGGTAATGCTCGCCCCGTGGAACTTCTTTTATCCAGCGCATAGGTGGCAGTGATGTCTTGAAAAGGTATCCGCTGGTGTTTATAAATGAAATCATTATTTATTAAGTTATTTCTGACGCTTTTCAGTAAATGAGGTGCGTCATACAATATAATATATTTGGTATCACCAACCTTAAAATAAGGTTTATTCACCTTAACGCCCAGTAACGAAAACAGTTTTTGATTAGTTGGTGACGGTAAATTGGTTATATTTGTGAGTATATTGCTTTCTGGAATTAAGCTGTTGTGGTCACTGACAGGATCTTTCTCTGGCGAGATTATATGCACATCACCTTGTATGTTTTCAACATTACAGAAAATTGCGTAGATAGACTTTTCTGGTAAGCTATGGGAAATGTCTCCTGATCTGCTTGAAGCATGAGGATAAACTGGAGAAACTTAAGACTGCGAAGCCATAGGGCAGGAGTGGCCAAGCTCTTTGATAGTCCGAGCCATTTTTCAATTTGAAATTTTTCGCGAGCCGCAGTTTGGCCACCGTTGCCATAGGGGACTGAAATGATATTGGTATAGCGGTGGCACTTAGTTTCCTTTGCATAAAATCTTCTTGTCTGACGCGGTCTCACTTTTTTAAACGATCTGGACTTAATTGGGCTAACTCCCAATTTCCTATAAAAAAATTAAATCGAAAGCGCCCTCTCTGATTGAGACACGTAATTATCTAAATACTATCTGAGATTAGAACCATAAGATTATTCCCCTTTCGACAGAGTCGCCCCCTGGAGATGTTCTCCCTTAATTAACCGACCGTTGACCAACTATAAGTATATATAAACAAAGGTTATACGATACTACTCAAGGGATTTGAGTCAAGCCACTCAAGTACATAAGGTCCTGAACAAATCCAATATCGGGAGTTGATCAACCTTATTTTCTATTCATTATGAGTTAAGTGCGCCATCTTAAAGTCAATGAGTAAACTATGAGTTGTTTATATTTTGTACCATATTTTATCATTTAATCTTAAATTATTATACTAAAAGGTTTATCACCAATATTAATCCGATTTCATACAAAGTACTTAGATAACTTGTAAATATATAAACAAACTAGATTAGGTGCCCAACCGGAAGATGGCGCTGATTAGAAATTCACTGAGGAAATCCGACCACAATCATTGAATCCAGTGAATGGATCTATATTTTCTAAACACAACCTTTGAAACTTATGTTCTTTGTAATTAATAATACAAGGACAAATTTAATTCAATCTAATTCAATATTTCCAGATTATTTTCTTTCGTTCCTAAAATTTTTGATTACCATTCATGCTTGTGATACCTGTGATTCTCCCAAACAACTATTTCTTCACATTTCTTCTCCCACCTCTCATTTTTATTCTTTATCACCACATTTCATCTAGCATACGTCGCTCGGTTGATGAGACTAATTGAGAGATTCCATTTTTGATGTATGTACAGGGCGACCTCGATAATACGGATCTTTATTAAACCTGATACTTCAATAATCCGAACAAGTATTTCAAATGCATTGCGTACTTTATAATCCGGATTTAATAATGCTCGGTAATCCTACGTTTTTACGAGTCTACTTCCATCAAACTAGAAATTATACATATAAGAAAACTAAATTAGATAGTGAGGGATTCCCATAACTTCCTAAATTCGGCCGGATATCTGTTTCAGTATGTGCCTTTGACTTGCCTGCAACGCATCACGTCTGAAGATTAATGACTACTTAGTTGTTTGTTGGTTGTCATATAATACATATGTATTACTATGCCTTCTAGAAGAAAACATATTACACTAACAATAAAACAAAAATCCGATATTAAACTAAAATTAGAACTAAGGCACTAGCACTAGCACTATCACTAGAACTAAGACTAGAATAAAAAACTTTCGAGTTAAGACGTGCGTCCTTTGAAAAAGAGAAGTTTCAGATGCCATGTTGCACCCTTCTTCAGAAACAAGTTCGAGTGTTTCCGAAACATCATGGAACTATAGAATAGCTGACTAGCGAGGATGGACAATTTACAACATTATTTCTTCCACCAAAAGAAACTGACAAAACTATTTTATCGGAAAAGTCTTTTAGCCCTTTTAGTCTTTTAAGTTATTAAAAACCATTAATTTGGAGAACGCTGTATGTCT